AGCAGCTTGTGGCTATCATTCAGTTGGGTTCTGTTTTGGGTACGAGAGACAATAGACTCTCGACTACCCAGGGTATTGAAACTCTGTAGTCAAATATGTAACGTCTTGAAGTTGAGATTTATAGGCCCATAAGGTGTACAAATATATGGCTGCTCAGTACTCACAACTATGTAAATTTAGTACCTCAATTTGGAGGCTATTTTTTAGATTTTTTTTTAGATTATATTCGTTATTCATTTGTTTGTCACGATCTGAATTCTTGAGTCCTTAAACGTCGGACTGACAAGCGAGATGTCGCCGGTTCAAATCAAGCAAATATGGCTTTCTCTATATATTTGGGTTGCTAACTATTCCGAGTAAACAAAGCAATAATATTGTTAACTAAATAATAGTTTAAATTATTCTTTTGGTTGTTGTGTCAACTATTCTTTTTATTGAGATGAGCGAAGAGTCGCTACATTAGGCACAAAGCTGGGGGTTCAAACCCGCTCAAATAAAGTAAACATATTTTGTTACTTAAATTAAAGAATGTAGATTTCATCAATTTTCATTTGACGAGGACGAGAACGTATAATTTCTTCGAGTCTCAGAATAGTTTAAGTTTAATTAATGAAAATGTCTGACGAAAGGGTATTTCATCTTCGGCCTCACTAAGATGGCGGTTCTTTCTTGTTAATTTTGTGCTTGAACAGCATTTGGCATTGTTCATCGTAGCTGCCGGCTTGTGTTAGTGTGCGTGTGTATCTGTGTGTGCGTGTGTATTTGAATTGTAAAGCGTTTTTATTGAGCTAAGCGATTAGCACTTCTTCGTGAGATTTCCATGCCGCCGTCTCGCAAAGAGCAAAAGTTGCGCGCTTAGCTCGCAGAGAGACCACAGTCGGGTACAGATACAGATACAGAGCTGACGATGAAGATACAAATACAGATACATTTTTGGGATTTGCTGCTGTGCGCTGCTAATTGCCGGATCACCATCGGCTTTAGCTTTGACTGCGTCTGCGAGTCCGACTTCAGCTGGACGTCGCGTCGTGCGTTTACCTCCCTCTCCCCGCAGTCAGCCCTCTCTCATTCGGCGAGCTGTCTGTTTGTTTGGTGTAAATAAATACCATGCTATATTCCATATTTTCGACGGGCGCCAGCACGCGCACTCCAGAAGAGAATAAAGCAAATGCCACAAAAATGAGCAAAATAATAAAATATAAAAATAGTTCAAATGCACTGGACAAGCGTGCGCGACTATAAGATGCCCTGTAGAAGGGTCGCGAATCCGTTGGAAATATGTGTATATTCTCATCACAACATAAGGTCGGTTGTCGAACTCGGACCTTCTGTTAAGGAGACACTCAATTATGAGAAGACGCGGCTCAAGCAATATACCCCTTGTTCCCTATCATTTAGAGGGTATGTAGACAATTTTTGAATTGCTAATTTTTATGTAAATAATTTGTAGCACAGAAATGTGTGTGTTTAGTCAAGGGAACGCCGGGGTGTCGCGACTTTTGGCTTATCTAGTTTTTCGGCTATATATATATATCTATACGAGCCGTGTTCAGATTTTGGCAGTCTTATCTTTACGCCTTTTTCGTTTTGGGGTCAATTTTTGCATGCTATTTACGCGCCGTGTAAGATAAGATGACGGACAAAACAACGGTTGGCCCAATTTAGGCGAAGGTCGTGTGCCGCCCTACCCACTTGATGGCATGGCGGGGTCATTGGCTGTTGGCTTGAAATTTAGTCTCAGCTGCATCACATGTGTCGCTAATTGAACGCTCAATTGGCTGTCGAATTGATTAATCGACGCCTTTCAATTGTCATTCCGTTTGATTCCATGCAGAGTGTGCTGCAGCAAACCACCAACAATCATGTGAGCTTGTCCAGCCAGCATCAACAGCCACCGGAACAGTGTGACGTGGTCAGCAGCAGTCGAGAGCAGGAGCATGTCTGCAGCGCCTGCGGTCTGGCGAGGCCGGCCGCCAGCACAGAGCTCGAACCGCAGGCGCTAAGCCAGGACTCAGCAACAGCAGCAACAACAGGAACAGCAACAACAGCAGCGGGAAATGCATTACAAACGGATGTGGCGACGCCTGTGGAGCTGCGTCCAAAGCCGCTGCTGGCGGCCATCAAAAAACAGGGTGTATCCGCCGAAAGCTCTGTGCAGTCCAAACAGCAATCCTACAGCGCAACCATACCCAAATATGACAAGGATTTCAGGTGAGCCGACCTTTAGCCATCTAACGAGGGCTGTAGCCATGGATCAGCAGAGGTTTAGGTTAAGCTTCAAGTCCGCTCAACAGGCATCCAATTGGTACACGAAAGAAACATTAAATTAGGTAAGGGCAGTCGCCCTCGACTCACTTAGAAGCTGCCGGAGTACAATGGAAAAATAAATGAAGGTCTTGGCTTCACAATGCTGAAGTCTAAAGACCTTTGGGACTTTGCTTGAAGATATCTGATAAGTCCAATGTGAAATAGTTTCCAAGAAAAGGGCGTCTAGCTATGCATAGAGCCGGACAGATGGAACAGAGCTCTGATGCCGTCTCAATAAGCCACAGGAGTCTAGCGACATGGTTGCAATGTTTAATAATGTCTCCGACTACTTGCCGACAGGTCACGTTCAATAAAACCCTTCACCTCTTGCAGTGCCAAACAGCAGATCAAGGATGCTATCATGGACAATGATTTTCTGAAGAATATTGATGCCTCACAGGTGCGCGAACTGGTGGACTCGATGTACTCGAAGAGCATTGATGCGGGCGAGTTTGTCATCCGTGAGGGTGAGGCGGGCGCCCATCTATATGTATCCGCGGCGGGTGAATTTGCCGTCATGCAGCAGGGCAAAGTGCTGGACAAGATGGGGCCGGGCAAGGCGTTCGGTGAGCTGGCCATACTCTACAATTGCACTCGCACCGCCTCCATACGGGTGGTGAGCGATGCGGCGCGTGTCTGGGTGCTGGATCGGCGCGTCTTTCAGCAGATTATGATGCGCACCGGACTGCAGCGCATTGAGAATAGCGTGAATTTCCTGAAGTCGGTGCCGCTTTTGCGTAATCTCAGCGACCAGCTGCTGGCCAAGATAGCCGATGTTCTGGAATTGGAGTTCTATGCAGCGGGCACTTATATCATACGCCAGGGCACTGCGGGCGACAGCTTCTTTCTCATCTCGCAGGGCAATGTTCGGGTCACGCAGAAATTGACGCCCGCTGCGCTGGAGGAAACGGAGCTGCGCACCTTAAGCCGCGGGGATTACTTTGGAGAACAGGCGCTCATCAATGAGGATAAACGTACGGCGAATATCATAGCCCTGGCGCCGGGCGTGGAGTGTCTCAGCTTGGATAGGGATTCGTTTAAGCGGCTGATTGGTGATCTGTGCGAGCTCAAGGAGAAGGACTACGGGGACGAGGATCGCATGCTGGCCATGAAACAGGCTCAGGCTCAACATGAGGAGTCATTTGGTGCGCAGGCGCAACAGGAGTATCCGGATCTAAAGCTAACCGACCTGGAGGTGGTCAGCACGCTGGGAATTGGGGGCTTTGGACGTGTCGAGCTGGTGAAGGCGCATCATCAGGGCCGCGAGGATATATTCGCGCTGAAATGCCTGAAAAAGCGGCACATTGTGGACACCAAGCAGGAGGATCACATCTATAGCGAGCGCAGCATTATGCTCAGTTCCAATTCGCCCTTCATTTGTCGTCTCTATCGCACCTTCCGGGACGAGAAGTATGTGTATATGCTGCTGGAGGCATGCATGGGCGGCGAAATCTGGACAATGCTACGCGATCACGGCTCCTTTGAGGATAATGCCGCACAGTTTATCATTGGCTGCGTTCTGCAAGCCTTTGAGTATCTGCACGCACGTGGCATACTCTATCGGGATCTGAAGCCCGAGAATCTGATGCTGGATGAGCGCGGCTATGTAAAGCTGGTGGATTTTGGCTTTGCCAAGTATATTGGCAATAGCGCCAAAACGTGGACGTTCTGTGGCACGCCGGAGTATGTGGCGCCGGAAATCATACTGAACAAGGGACACGATCGCGCCGTGGACTATTGGGCACTGGGTATACTCATTCACGAGCTGCTCAATGGCGCGTAAGTCTGGCAGGGAGAGTGCCATCAAGCTACCTATTCCAGCTAATAGTTCCTTTATTATTTCCCTAACAGTCCACCCTTTACCGCTCCCGATCCCATGCAGACGTACAATCTCATCCTTAGAGGCATTGATATGATCACCTTTCCCAAGCACATCTCACGCTGGGCCGTGCAGCTAATTAAGCGCCTGTGCCGGGATGTGCCCTCCGAACGTCTGGGCTATCAAACTGGCGGCATACAGGACATCAAGAAGCACAAGTGAGTGTGGATCTACATCCAGCTGGGCTTCGTATTTACTTTGCTGCTACTATTTAGATGGTTTCTGGGTTTCGATTGGGATGGCCTGGCCAGTCAGCTGCTGATACCGCCCTTTGTGCGACCCATCGCTCATCCCACGGACGTGCGTTACTTTGATCGTTTTCCCTGTGATCCCAGCGAGCCGCCGGATGAGCTCTCCGGCTGGGATGCGGATTTTTAGCCTTATAGTGAACAGAGATGCGGTTGATATTGTGAAAATACATGCGACAGGAGGCAGCGGTGACTCCACAAAGTATACATTTTCCGGATCAGGACAACGAGCTCAGGTGTTTTAAACATACCTGCCTGTCTGTTCGCCCGTGGCTAACAGCTAGTGTTACGAGATTTGATCTGTGTAGTCAAGTTTTTTCAAATATTTGATAACTCGTCTTGCACATCGATAAATATCGTATTTTGAGCCTATATTGATTGTTATGAGACCTAGACTCGCAAAAATTGGTAGTTATGCTCTAGTATAATAAAAACAGATTAGAATATCTTCACTTTTGATAACTTGCATCTTACATCTAGATAAATTTGCCATCAAAGTCTGGCAACGCTATTCTTGCTCAATATTCATGTAAAAATCGTACCCTCGAATATCCTATATAGACACAGGTCAAAATGTAACTACTTTATTTGACTTTGGACTTCAATAACTAGATTTGCATAACGGAAATTTATTTGAGGTCCTTTAGAGGGGCCGGAGTGAGTTTTCGTCGCTGTATTTGATGCGGCTCTCGTCGATGGATTTGCTGGCAGCCAGTAGTTGGCACATCCGTATGCAGCGCTGGATCATTGGATCGTAGATGGCATTGCAGCCAGGCGTCGGCTCGGCCACGAGCTTCAGATTGTCCGGAGTGCGTTGGAAGAACTCAGCGTAGCTGAGTTGCGGCTGTCTGCCACGGCGAATTTTGCATCTGCGGCAATTGCAGTTGACCTCGCGATACTGATAGAAGGCATAGCGAGCACGATAGGCGGCACCTAGAACGCTCGCCTGTGACGTTTCCTCCAGCCGGTAGACGGATGCATTGAAGATATCGGCAACTATTTGCAGTATGCTATCATTCCTGGAGCAATCGTTCGCGACAACGATTTTGGTCTCCGGACAGAAGCTCACACCCATGCTGGCGGCAACGGCACGATGATGCAACAACTGACCCTCGATGACGGCGCGAGCCTCAAATCTGGGCTCTGGGAATCGCTCGCGTCCGTGCAGCGCCTCCTGCGATAGCTCGTTAATGTCGTTATCCCAGCGCAGCGAACCACACGCCTCCGGTATATACTCCATCTCATCGAAATGTATGGCAATGTGGCCCGCATTGCCTTTGGGCGTGGCGGCTAACATCTCATTAAAGACGGACCACTTGCCATTAGCCACCTCCTGGCAGATGCGTTCACGCACCGTGCTGCCATTGCGAAAGAAAAATGAGCCCATGTATTCGTCGGGCATCGTCGGATGGCACAAGACATTGCCCTCGTGCACTAGGGGCTGATCCTTAAAGTGCATAATGATGTGGTCCGATTTGGACAATGACAAAATCAAAAAACATCTCTGATCCTTCAGGCTGGATAGCATGCAGGCACTGATGAGCGTGGCGGCAACGATCATGCAGTCGGGTCGAAAATTCCAACGATTCACATGGTAATTGGCAATCCGTCCCTGCAGCCGATTCGTGGCAATTGGCTGCATTAGACGTGATTCCAAATTGGGCGCACATGCCTCCAGGCACTCGGGCGACCAGGTTTTATTGCCTATATCCAAGAGACACATCTTCGAGCCATCGGTGTAATCAATGGACGCAATGTTGCCAATAAGCAGCGATGCCAGAAAACTACTCATTAGCGAAATGCGTACGGTTTGCTCATATTTCTCCGGATAGACCTCATAGACTTTACGGATTTCGGGGCCCGTCATGCGCACTGAGGCCCTGGAGCCCGTTCGTTTTTGTATTTCAATGGAGCCGACCAGATCCTCCATGGCGACGCACTGTTTCTCAAGCGAGTCATTCATCCAATACAGCGTGGGCAGGGCAAATGCCTTTTCTGTTAGCTGTTCATGCAGGCGCATTTTTGGATTTAGGCCACAGAGCGCACGAAAACCGGCAAGGGACCAGTAAATGGCGCCATGATGATGCGTTCCACAACTAATGGCGGCCACCGAATGCAAATCTGCACCCCTGGTTGCCAGACAATTGAACAGCATGTCCAGCGCCTTGATATACATGACCGGATTTATTTGATATTCGTTCGGCTCGGAGCCAGCATTGACACCATCTATGGTTTTGTACTCGGGCAGATCCACATCGTAGCGCACCACGGCGCTGTATGTCATCTGGAGTTCAGCATTTAGCAGCAACGCCTCAATCTTCTCCCTGTCCATGTGGATGCCCAAGTAAGTGTTGCCACTGTAGTCGGGTGCAGGTCTGTGGCACATTACGGTTCACCTTTTGGTCAAAATCAAACAAAATGGACTTAACTAGAAATTTTTATATCCAATATACGAACAAAAAGAATTGTGAGCTTACTTCGATTGTTGCTCTTCACTCTCCTAACCCCCCGAATTGCACATACTTCCTCCTGTTGCCCACGCTTGGATAGGTGGTGCGACAGCGCTTCCTTTGATTCATTTGGGCAATAGAATATATATTTTACTATATTTTATAGCTTTGACACCCTTTATTAAGCTACTTTTTATTATCTGAAAACTATTTTAGAAGTTTTACAAATCATTATGCCTATTTACTGGTATCTGCTTTTTCTGAGTGTACCCATAGAAAGTGTTCCAAGCTCTTCGATTAGTTGTCGTGATTATCTGTTAAGCAATGTTTGATCTGCGCTGTTCCGTGATCTTGAACTGAAGCAGCACAACCAAATAGGTGGCCATAAAGGAGATGTTTGTGGTGATTAACTCGCGATTGATGTTCGCAAATCCATCGAGATTCATTGTGGGCGGATTCTTGCTGATGGCAACCAGCAGCATGTCGACCTCCTTCTGCGTGGCCGTGTCGACGGCTGTCAGATTGATGTTGAGCAACTTGGTCTGAAAGTCGAGGCCCACCTTACGCGAGGCAAAGTGCGCCTCATTGCAGAAGATGAACAGCCAGCACATGCAGTAAAACACAATGACAAAGAGACCCACCTCCTTGTAGGTGGCGCCATGATCGATAATCTCGCTGATGCTGCCATAGGCAGCGATGATGCTGGTAAAGAAGATGACCAGACAATACATGCCATACATATTGGAATAGGCGCGACCCAGCTGCTGCATCATATGGCTAAGATCCACCCACAGATGTCGATACTCTGTCAGTTTCTGGGCAGGCTTATCGCCTCGTATCGTCGCCTGCAGAGCATCCGACAAGGCACGACTGGCCGTCCCAAAGGCATTGCAATTCACATACCACAAGCTGCAAAAACAATTCAACATGGCTATAATGGGATAATAGGCGAACGTGTACCACAGGCTAAAGTCCGGCTGTAGAAAATACTGCGACAGATTTATGGCGATGCTCAGCAGCCAGGAGGAGGTGCACAGCACATAGGTCACCGTATACAGATTCGGGAACACAATCGTTGAGCCTGTCGTCTTGAAGAACTTGTACTGATAGTTGGTCCACATATTCTTAAAGATGGCCACCTGCGGTCCATGACGCCAGCTGGCGATGGGCAGCAGAAAGTTCGTGAAGAGCAGACTGATAAATATGACATTATAGATGGCCTCATCGAAACGCTTGTCCGGGCTGGTTATGAATTTTTTCACACGCTCGCGCAGCACCAGCACCACAATTGTCGTCTGGATGGCGTAAATGAACATGGCCCACATGGCCTGCTTGGATGTCCAGGTGTAGCCGGTTCTTGGCATGTTCTTCACCGGCGGATTACGTATCAAGGGCATTACGCCCATGATCTGGAACAGCACCAGCAGACTTTTGGTGGCACGATAGAATGCATCATGTTTGTCCAGCTCGAACGGATCATCCACGCTATCCGGTTTGCGTACATAGCCATCCTCGATGGTTGTGCCGCCCGCCAGCATCTTGAGCTTCTCACGATAGCGCAGCTCATCCTCCAGAAACTGGCGTTGATTAGGATTCAGCATGGGCGCCACCTTGCCCGGTGGCGTTAAGCCGCGACTTACAGCCCAGAAGGACATGACGTGCACAATAGACCGAGCCTGAAGCGGAGCGACCACAATTTTTGCGTTGCCTTTTATATGGTCGCTTCTGCTATTGACTTTTGATTGAAAAGCAAACAAAAGTGCGAATATGCCGCCCACGGGGCGTGTCGCTATTTGCTTGCTGTCCATTAAATATGACCCGGTATATATATATAGATATATATGTATATAAATACATCTGTATGTGTGCCTGGGGCGGGGTTTGTTGTGGTCATTTGATGAGACGCGACCCTGGCCAGCGCGGTCTGCGCCTGCACTCAAAAAAATTTGCCCCAATAAAATTGCCATAAAATTACAATTTTTCTCCATTGTAACTCAATCAAAAAAATTTTGAACATTTTTTTTTTAACATTTTGAAAAATGTGTAATTTTCTAAATATATTTCTTGCTTAAAGCAAAAATAGTTTTATATATAAAATCTATCTTTCTATATTTTAGAACGCTTTTTGTTATTAGACTTTTTTTGTGCTTTTTAAAAAATTACAAATTGTTTTAAATTTTATTTTTCCAAATTTTAGGGCGATTAGAAAATCGTAATGTAAGCCTGATTTCAGGCTCTTTATTTTTTTTCTGAGTGTGCACAGTGTACGTTTTGCTGACAAAGAGCCGAACGGATACCCAGTCGGGGCAGGACATGGTGTGAATAATGCCTCGCCTCTGCGACCCTCTGTCTGTGTGTGTGTGTGTGTGTTTGTGTTTGGGCCGGGACAGAAGGTACGTAGAATGCGCTTAATTTGCCGGAAATGAAAGTTTAACGATGTGTAAATGCTTACGAATGCCCGATAGAGGCTCGCACTAATGACCAATAAAAATTGTGCCGCCGCTGACCCAATGAATGTAGTTTCGCCCCGTCGTATGCCCTTCTTCCTCTCTCTCTCTCTCTATTTCTGTCTCTCTGTTTGTGTGTGTTCCTGACTTTTGATCCATTTCTGCCTGACTTGTCGAATGCCAAAGTCAACTTGAGGCCTGCTCAAGATTTAAGCCAAAGTGTATTGAGACAGCAGCAGCAGGAGCAACAACAGCAGCTAGCTCAGAGTTCACACTGTGCCTGACTCTGGCAGCAACTCAACATACACACAACACACACACACAACACACACGCACACACACTTTGCACACACTCTATGCACAGTCAGCAACATTTGAAATGCGTTTAAAATAGACTTTGCTCAAGTCCAAGCACTTCAAAGGCAGCATTTAATTTTTCGGGCGCTTGGCCAACTGTTGCCTGCTTTTTGGCATTTTAGTCACTTGCATTGGGTATGAACATTTTCTCATTAAATGTGTTACGAATTAAATGCGAAAAAAACAAGTTAGTTATGCAGATTGAGTCTTTTGCAGCCCTGATTAAAGTACATTTTTAAGGTCAAAAATCTTCTCTATTATAAAGTAAATTTAATTTTGCCGAGAAGCTGGGCTTGTATAGTGCTATGTGTCTGATCGCCTGTTAAAACATCGTGCATAAGTACTAGAATGTTGAGATTTGTATTTCTTCTTACCGTTGAGGTAATCAATTTTGTTTCGTTTTGACTTCTTTAGAATCAAACTGAAATGAAAAACCAATAATTGCAGGCTTATATTTTTCAAAGTGTGAAGCATGCCCAAAAATTGTATGTTTATAAGGAATACTGAGCAGGTCAGAAAATACAGTCAGGTCAGAAAATATGTTGTCCTAGGTTATGCCTGTCTAAGTAAATTATTATACTTAAATTATTGTACTTTAAAAAACTACTTTAAGACGTTCTTAAAGAGTTGAACAAACACAAGACTTTTAGTCCAACTGCTTGCAGCTGATTTCGCCCTCGAAACAACAGGGTATCTTGCCGTTGGGCGCTTTCGACTGCAATTTTCTCTTCTGTCGCTCTTGTTTGCATTGCATCTCTTATTCTTATATTTCTGCTTCTTCATACTGTTGCTGCTGCTGCTGTTGTTGTAGTTGTTGTCGTCTGTGCGATTTTCATTGCAATAGTTTGGCAAACTCTGCTTTCGTTTAATGCGAAAACTTTTAAGAACTAACGACGAGCAGCACCAAATAAATAAAGTGTTTAGCTTGTTTTTTATGGCAGGATGTGCAGGATAAACATTTTGTGTGACATAATTGCAGCCAAGTTGGCCGGAAGATGTGCACAAATTTAAAGCATACCAAAAAAAAAAAAACACCCCTGACCAAACTTTAAGCCAAAGCGCTGCCAACTTGATTGCAATTGGAGATGGCGCGTGTGGAATTATTATTAATATTGAGCAAATTTAAATATGAAATATAACATTTTTTATAACAAAAAAAATTACTTCTAAGTGTTGTGTATGAACTTTAGCGAATACTTTTAATAAGTACTCAATTATTTTCTTTTTTATCAAGATAAAAAGTGTCCTTAGCCCGATTTTGTATGTTTATGTGAACATAAGTATGAAATTTATTCAGCGCAATGTATATATATATATATATATATATTTAAGGAATTTCAGAGCTGTATACACAGGGCATCTCGTAGTCGGCTACGCTTGCTAATCGTGAGCAATTTACCATTTTTATTTAGCAATATCTTTTGACTCCATGTTGCATCATGCTTATTTGCTTTAATGCCCATTTGAGAAATTCGTTTTGTGAACACGAGCCTCCAACGATTCGAGTCGTGCCTGTTCGTGTCACGCGGCCAGCTCTATCCCCTGCTGGCAGCAGCAGATTGTCTGTGAATTTGCGCTGCGTTTCTGTCTTTGCGTTGAGCCTTGCCATCTCGTGCTGCTGCTGTTGTTGCTGTTGCTGTTGGCGAGTTAGCTTCAACTTCAAGGCCTTCTTCGTTGCCTGTGTACGTGCCACATTCGTTGTCTGGCTGCCACATGAACGACTGTCACATCTACTGCCAGCTGCCATGGCCGCCAGCTGTCAACTGGAGCTGATCATTGCGTTGTGCAGCGAACAAATTACATTTCGATTTCCGTTTTCCTCTCTCCCTGCCTTTCTGTACCTTCCTCTACACCCGCACGTCCTGCTCGAAGTGCATTATGCAACTGTCTCCGCCGCAATCGCTTGAAATCCGCCCGGAAAATGTGTTCAGCATTCGATTTTTGCACGGGCACAGAAAAACTTTTATTAATATGTATAAGCCAAGCATGGGATTTGAGATTAGCTTCCAGTGGTGGGCGGTGTGGGTGGGTGAGGCAGCTACAGCCTCTACACAAGTAATTGAATACAGATTTTATATCAATAGCAAATTCCATGAATTACAGCAATACATGTGCCTGCACAAATTTGCCTGATAATAAATTATAATCAAAAATTATATATATCTAGCAACAAGCTAAAGTTTAAAATTCAGCGTCATTTAGAATTGTTGAGTGAAAAATAAATTGCAAATGGAACTGTTGACGCAAGCGTTTAGCTTCGAAATGACCTCGAACAGGACTAGTTCAAAGCTGTGCCCAGCGTCGAAAGGTCATGAGTTTAATTCCCAAAGGCAGCATTCATCCAGGGACAGGACAAACTTGCTAACAAAGGTCACCGCTGAGCTTGAGAGTCGCCTCGGTCAGCCAAGAAGCTAATCAATTTAAAATATATATATATATATACATATATATATGTATATTATAATCAAGCCACAAACCAAAAAGGTTTTGATTTTGGCGGGCCCGGGTTTCCAACCTTAAACCTAATCTGAAACCCAGAACACAGCAGAAATTTTGTATTTATATAATATCTTTTAGTTGTGCAAAAAACGAACAATAAATATTAAATTCAAGTCTTGTCAGTCTGCAAAGTGAATTTTGCACTTGACACGAACTTTGCGCAATTTTCACAATTTATAACCAGTTGCTGCTTTGATTATTTGCCATTTATCTGGCAGTTAGACAAACAGAACGCATACCCAAAACCAAACTTGAATACAAAACGCTCAAATGTAATCATGATATTGAAGTGAATATGTGTTTTGTCTATTGTCATCATTGATTCCAGTCGTGTGGCTTTTGGTTGTGGCCAATAACAAAATTGTCCTAGCTGAGCGCTCGAGGAACCGGATGCACTCTATGTGCTGCCAATGTAAAATATATATGTATATATATAAATTATAATTTAATTTTGTTATGCCATTTAAATTGCACGCACACAAGGGCACATACGTAGACACGCACACAGGCAGAGAGTGGAGCACTCTAGTTGCAAAAGCATAATGCAATTAAATATTAATCATACGCACTGTGGGACCCTGCACATAGGGCAGCAAAGGCCAGCATATTGGTTAACTGCCTACCGGTTTCCAATTGGGATATTGGCAAATTAGCAAATTGCACATACATCAATTGACTAATTAGTGTTAAAAGCAAGTGCCTCCCTGTGTGTATGTGTGTGTGTGCGTGTGTGCGTGCAACATAGCATTCGCTTCAAGACCGGAAAAAAATGCATTTGCTATGTTTTGCCTGACATTTGGTGCAAGAATTTACCAAACTAATTTCCTTATTTGACATATGCGGGTCATCTGCCCATACGGGCGCCCAAAATCCCAACCAGATATGATGCCGATTCCGATTTGCAAATGAAAATTTAATTTGCACTTCGCATTCGCAGCGCTTTAATGCGAGCCGTACAATTGCAATTAAAATGCTTGAAACAAATCGCTTTTAATTTGTATACCCTTTGCCATTGGCGTTGTTAAAACTGGGTCACGAATGTGCAATGCATAACAAGGTTAACTTTTTTATAAGCCTTAAAGTTTAAACAGTTTTAATGCAATTAACTATGTTAATTTAGCTAGATTTTTCTGTTTGTAGCTATGACACGGTTTAAATTCGACTTTTAGCTTTTAATTTGTATTTTTTTTATATTCTGAACGCATTGAAAGTGGTTAAAAATGGTATAATGTATTTATTATCTTATGTTGTAAGAGCTTGAGTCAGCAAACTTGACATAGCTTCTAGAATTTAATAGGCAGATTAATCCAGACTAAACAAGTTTTCATTTTAGAGCCAACTTCCGACTAGTGCCCCTTGCCCTTACTTGCGATGTAGTCAATACAAAGGCAGCCACAACCTACAAAATAAATCAAGAAACAAATAAATAAATCAATAAATAAGTGAACCAAACAAATAAATAAATAGGTGAATACAAAATGAAGCAAATAAATAAATACTTGGA